GGGGCTTATATTCAGGGAAGCTTATAGTCGGAGGTTTACGGTAGTTATAGTTCCCTCGAGCGAAATGCGGAAAATTTTGATCAGTAATTGTCCAGAGCATGTACGTATAGTCATGCATTGCACGCGTGATACATCGCAATATACAGTATATTAAGCCTGCATGGTTTCCACAGTGGTTGTAACTGTCATAAAGATTGAATCACGATCTTTCTCAACGGCCAGGTTATAATAGTTTTTATCTGTCAGCCACAGGACCCACCCAGTATAAATCATAAGTATTCTCCATTTATAATCACTCTGCCTATTATATCAGTGTCACTAAAGCCTGATTCTCATAAGTCGCCGACGTTGGCGATGCCATATATTGTTTGAGATCAGTGAAGAAGAACATAGACAAAAGATTTTACTCATCAATGATCAACGACAATGGGCATCGCCGACGTCGGCGACATATGAGAATCAGGCTTAAAAACGGTTGTATTTCAGCTGTTGAGAAAGATCGTGACTCAATTTTTACAAATTAGGACCGTTACGACCATATGGAAACCAGGCTTTAGCAAACACATTTTTTGCCCACGTCTTATTGCCTCATATTGCCAATTGGCTCCATTCCAGCCAGGCGTTTCGATACGACGTTCTATGTATACATTTTTCTAAATTTTATAAAATTTCCTCAACATGCAAATACACGTCAAATCATACACAAAACGTTATGGCATAAATGCTGTCTTATTCATTTAGTTATTTCATATGTATAAGATTTGAATACGTTTTCGTGCGTGTATTACTGGAATGCAGCCAGCCGGCCAACCTTCTGTAGTTTTGAATTAAGATTATATATGACGCAATGTTGTAGAGGGAAACAAACGACTTGATATTATCATTGCATTGCAAGTAATGATTGTCAGTGTCACGCACTAACTTTTTAGAAATAGATTTTATGCATCTTGGGATGATTTCGGACAAAACTTATTGCAAAGTCAACCCGCTCGCCCGGTGCCAAGCCGTCTGGGAAGAATTAATAAATTGAAGGTTGTCCATTGAACGATGAATGTGGGTTGAACGATGACTGAACTCTCTGTTGTTCCTGGTATGTTACCATGGTGAAATAACTGAAATAATTGTTTCTTTTTGAAGAAACCCCATATTATTTGCACTGATGACGATCCCGGCTTAATTATCTGCCAACCCCAGAGTATCGGAAATCGTGAGTTGTCGTGCCCGACGGCGACGGACGAAAATCGAAACCGAAAGTTCAGTTATAAGAGGAAATACTTCATGTTGTGCAGTTATAGTTAACCCGTTTCCAGTCGCGTTGAACTTTTCATGCTCACCCAGAGATGCTCACTTTTATAAACTATTCACGAACATAACGAATAGAATAACGGTATAGTAGTATTCCCTCAATCTAGCTGCCACTTTGCCCACTTTTCATTAAATATAAATCAGTTTTTTTTCAATATTTGCCCGACGAAATTGTTTGGATAATTGATATACCCGACGAGATCAGTCTAATGGAACCTTGGGGGGTGTCATCCCCCCGGTAGTTTCGCCCCTGTTCATATGCACTGTATAGTGTATATACTATATATGTTTATAAATATTGGAAGTCTTGGAAAGAAATAGCACGAGTAAACCTCGGAGTAAACATTAATGCTAGAAACTTTGAAACGAATAAATAACAAAGTCAATAGTATACTCAATAGCTAGCTGGACCATTCATTGAGCAAACAATTACGAATAAAATCTTGCACAAAAGCATTTTATAACAATAAAATAATCGCACGCGACATTTAATAGCCGCCTAGGGCTTTGCAACAATTCGCGCTAATTCACATCAATAAAATCAATATCCTACGAAATGTGACGTACGTGACCGAGCAATTTCCGTTCTACACCGAGTCTCTGTCGATGAGCAACAGGAAAACGATTGTCGAGCGACGCTAGCGAAAACCTCTTTAGTAATTTATTGCGGAATCTGATGGGATTATCGTGGTTTTGAACTTGAAACTACATACTCGATTCATCTAGAAATGTTTGAATAACAACCGAGCGATTAAGGTATGTGTTTATATTGTCTAGAGCTAAATATTCGTGAATATATTGGGCCGTTTTGTCAGGAAGATCGTTTCATCTCGCTGTCTTGGGGCTTGCTTGTTCTCTTGGCGATCTTTGTCAATATTTGCTCATGACTTGAGCGTGTTGAATGTCGCTCATACTCTAAATATGTAAAGTCACTTTATGCTGCTACTCCAATTGGACGTTTAATATATTTAGGTACCTTCTAAAAAGTCGGCATAATGTAGCAAATGCAGACTTCTAAATATCTACGAATCTAACGGTGTTGCAAGCATGCGGGTTGATGTTTGGGCATTATTGTGGTGAATATTGTTTGCCTGTATTATTATAAAACGTTCGTTTGGCACCCGTATAATATAAATAAATAAACAAAACTTTTTTTGTATATCATACTACATGTATACTGAAAGGGGTTGCAAAACATTTCGAATTTTGCTTCAGTGTATAAATTTGTAACATTTAATAGTTTCAAAATTATGCAAGAATTCGCGAAGAATTTTATTCTGGCCACAACCCTTTATTTTGTCGTGACAATTGTCTGTTTTCTTTCTCGTTTCGTACATGCCAAAGTGACGACTACTTTGGGCATTTAATTTACCTACTCGTATTAAAATGTTCTGCGGTATTTAATAAGGTGTCAATTCCAAATTCACTTGGACATTTAATAGCGACAACATTTTGTAAATTGAACACACATAGTAGCTAGCAATCATGGGAGGCAGATGTTTCGGATTTGCTTTATGCAATTATCAGGCCTTCACAGCAGTGGATGAAGCCTAATATTTGTGTTGTTTTTTCATTAAATCTCAAATATATATATAAGATGAAAGGAAATTATTGATACTTGAAAAATAATTTGTTCCACTCGTGTTGATTTACGTTGTTAAATACATATGCATTGTGTATTCGTTTATATAATTTCAATGTGGGAATTTTAATATGTTGTATATGACTGTACACCATGAGGCTTGAATAGATGTCATCTTTATAAATTTGCAGAGTCATTAAATTTTTATGTTTTCTTTTGCCAAATAATTATCATTACTTAACGTTTTTAACTACATTATATAACTGGGTGGGCAATCTTCCCCACTCCGCAGCAATTGCCCCTCTCCCCCACTCCACAGAAATTTTTATTTTACTTAACTTTGCCGAAGAATAATTGCTACATATATATTACATACACAAGACGTGTACAAACAAATGGCAGGGTGACATTTACCTTTGCCTACCCCCTGCTCCCAGTGAAAAAGTCCAATCACTGCTGTATATTATATAATAGTAATTGTAATGAGATCGCATGATTTGAAATCATGATTTGAACGCTTTATATAAAGAACACTATTTGTTGCACATATTACTGTATCATTCTTTTATTATTTAGAGTCACCAAACGGGTTGTGGTGGATGAAACAACTTATTTTGGTGCTGGATACTTTTTCTAAGAAATGAGTTGTGTTAGAGAAATGTCATTTATATTTTCACTCTACATAATATTAAGTGCTTTTCATATACATAATTCAGTTTGTAAAGAAGGTATAGTTTTTTATATTTGTGTCATTAAGATTTGAAAGTTATAAAGAAAAACATTCCGTAAATTGAACATACAGCAGTGCACAATGATTTAGTTTTACAGTATACACAGTGTCAGTCAGTCTATTCATCCGATTCACTCAGACAGTTAGTGGAAGTTTGTCAGTCCCAGTCAGGAAATTGTTCAGTCCTTCACATATGGTTGGTCATTGAGGCAGGCAATCAGTCAGTCCGTCAGTGAGCCAGTTATTGTGTGAGAGAGTCAATCACTTAGTCTGTCACCCAGAGGAACAGTCAGCCAGTCATCAGTCATGATGGTCAATCAGTCAATCAGTTGTTTGTTGACAGATTGTTCTCTTGATACAGAGGTGATTATTTACACTTTTAGTCAACTCCAAGCTGTATACCAGCAAATTAACTACTGTAAAATCATAAAAACCACCTCTGCGGAGGAGAGAGGTTGTTGACATGCAATCGTTGTCAACCAGGTTGGCCCTAAAAGTCAGTCATTATTGGGTTGCAAATCCTTTACATAGCTATAAATATTCATTTGATGGACTATTATCTTCTTTATGTAGTGATTCTAAAGACAGGAACATGTTCTGAATATTTTGAACGTAGTGTAGAAGATCCTGACTTCAGAACTACTGGGGTAAAACAGAATTCCAATAGTCCATGCACACAATTTTTAATGCAGTTATTTACTATTTGAGTGTATGCTTCGTTTTTACATAATATATTGTTTACTATTTTGTGTAGTACTATACATACATGTATTTTCTTTGCTATTTATTCTCTTAATTAGCACTCTTCTTATACAATTAAATTGTAAAAATATTCACTTTCCCTTTCCTTCACCTGTATTCGAATCTATAATCTTTGTAGTCTAAGAGATCTTTAATACAGTATGAGTATTTCTATATGCTTTAACATGCGTTTAGCCACAGTTGTTTAGCACATTTGATGTTTTAATTAATGAGTTTCTGCAACTAAATATCTAAATACAATGGTGTAGCACCAGGAAATTTGCCTGAAGTTTCCCCAAGATCAACAAGTATTTGAAATATTGGTTTAATCCTGATTTGAAGTTTGCAAACTGGTATCTTTATTACATAGGTTACTTCTCAAAACGTTCCATACTGTATTATGTCATTAATTGCACACTCTAAAAATATATAAAATCTGGAATGTAACAGTTTTAGCAAAGGATGCAACTGTGCAAGTACAGCATTAAGTAAACACCGAGTCAGTTCCCTCAAACATTTCTTAGAAATTCTTCAAAACTTAGAATTTCCCTATGCAAAATACCTACTGTGGTCACAGAAACTTTGATAGTATATAAACCATCCTTAGTAATAATAGTGTAAATGTGTAAACAAATTTAATCAAGGTTTCATTTATTGTTACTGTAGAAGAGCAATATTATCGTATGTGGTTAATGTTAATGATCTAAACCAAACATAGTAGAATGTCTTTTAAAAGATGAACTAATATTGCTTACTGTGCAATAGTTCAAAAAAGATTATTTGATCATCTTACAGTATATTGTTTATGCAAACTTGTTTAAAGTGATCATTTTGTTGTAATAACTAGAAAGAAAATTAAAACAGTTCAGCAATTAAATGCTAGGCTCTTGATTTCTTACTTCTCATACAGTTACATTCTTTTATTCATTGCTTACTATAGTGGTCACCCAAGGCAGCAAATGATGGTTGCTCCATTTGCAATTCACAAGACACAGCGGAATCTTGGTTGGTTACAAAATTCCAGCAAGTTAAGGAGTTCATTAAGTCAGTACATGTAAATGTCAAAGTGTACAGACCTGAATGTGGATTGTGCAAAAACCAGGATGTAAAAGTTTATATTTTAGGCAAAGCCTTGCCAATTGGACAGAAAGGACTAAAAGAAGCTGTCGGGATTTTAAAGAATCTGACGTTGGTGACAACTCTTAAAAACCAAAAGGACTTAACAGATAAATTTCATCAGTTTCATTTTGAACCTAATGCACCACAATTATCCATAGCGTTCCTGTCTGCAGGCAGTTGTACCCTGATTAAAGATATCACATTATCCTATTTCGTTTGTGACAAAAACACTAGCGCTGGGGTTAATCTGCCCAGAACAGTTGCTCCAGATAGTGGATCTCAAAGAGTGAACGTAAGCTGTCCTGAGAACACACTAAATCCAGGTAATGAAGAGGCATATGGGTTGTGCTCCAGTAAAGGAATATGGAAGATAATATCACCATGCATCTGTAAGAAAGGATACACCTTAAATACTATTGAAGAAGGATGCATAGGTATGTTGTGACTCAAGTTACAGTAGCTTGAATTGAAGAATTCCGTAGATCTAATTACTGTAGATGCCTAGTTTATAATCGTTTGCCATTGTAAACTCTCTTATTTAAAATGACAATATTGTATAAAAATGTATAAAATTTGCAATACACTTAATTTCTAAAACCGAGATAACAAGTAATCTTCAATTAGCATAGCAATTGAATGTAAAATAAAATGTATAGCAAAATAGTATATAAATACATACCGTAGTGCAGTGAATTGAAGTATAATTTAAAATTGAATCCAGGTTATACCGATCTAGCATCATCCCACGTTAACCCATTGAGCGCCAGCGCTCTCCCCTTGACGAGTAAACATCAGCGTATGGTGCATTTAGGCCGCAATGCAACCCATATACATATGAATGCAATACAGAATGGATTGACCAAAGTATTTTTAGAATGGGTAATATCAACATTTTGTAACTGAGAATTAATCTCACAAAAATTTTCAAGACTTTCACCATTAAAAATTAAAAAGTATTTGATTTTATGAATACTATAAACATCCTTATAGTTATAAGTAAATTTGAAATTTTGAAATACACCCTTCCGGAAAGTACGTCACTTTGGCTATAGAGCCTCGTTTTCATGTATCTGACATCAGTTAAAGGGCACGTCTCAATCACGAAAACGAGGCTCTGTACCCAAGATGCCGTACTTTTCGTAAGGGTGTATTAATTTTTAACATTGAGAAAGCAAAACTGCTTTGACGTAAACCTGGAAAGCATACAAATAATAATGATCTTAGATTCAATTCGATTATAGGATTATATTTTTTCTATTATAACGAGATTTTTTATATTTTGAAGAATGTGCAGTCAACACATATAAAGATACGCTTGGAAATGGAAAATGCACCAATTGTCCAAGGAATTCCGGCAGAAATCTCAAAGGACAAAGTCAGTGCATGTGTCAAGACGATTTCTATCGCTTTCAAGGGGAGAATTATACAAAGCCTTGTTACGGTGAGTCCACATATTGTGTGCGACTGTTTCTTCAATCCTACTTGGTGCTTCCACATGTCAGTTTTTCTCATAGCTATATAGAGGAAATATTGTCTAATGAGTGTAGAACACTGAGCCACGAATGAATTGTTAGGAGAAAGCAACGGTCGTTCTGTTAAAAAGTGGAAATAAAGAGCTTCAAGATGGCAGTGATATACAGGTGTAGTCAATATAGCAATAACGAAGAGTCTCTAATAGTTAATACAGAATCTACTGTATAGGTTTTCTGGCTTTTTAACAAAACAAAGCATGCCTTTGGCATTGTTGGTTTGTGTTAGTCTATAGCTATAAGAGAAATACCATTGGCTTTCGGATATATAGTATGAAAGCTAATGTAGAAATGAACAATGAAAGCCTAAGGTAGCAACAAGTAAAAACAGAATAAAGACATACGCGTTGACATTTTCTTTCTTTTCATAGGAGTTCCATCGCCTGTCGGAGATGTCAAATACATTGACAAAACTGAAACCTCGATAACGTTGCTATGGACACCGCCACCCGACCAGGGTGTGCTATATGACATAGAATGCAATAAATGTCCATCAGGCAGTGATAGTGGGTCGTGCGTAGTACCGTGTGGACGCTCAGTGATGTTTATACCATCCCAAAATAACCTTACGTATACCAATGTAACCATACAAGGTCTCGATCAAGATACAGAATACCAGTTCGTAATTTATTCCAAGAATATGAACAGTGCACGCATCAGTAGGACCAACTGGAAAAGCGCTGTAAAGAAAATTAAGACCGAAGGTATGCTGTAGCTGACACATGTTGTTTTGGTGTTCAATGACTGGCTTATTAGTACAACGTACAAATAGTCTTGGGGAAGGTTGCCTACTGTATCTTTTTCAGTGTAGACCTTTAATAAACAGCGGATAAACCAGACGGACCTTTGCAAATGGATATGTCCATCTTACATATTTTTTATTCGCCAATGTTCATCGTATCTCATTTCTTTTTCTTTTGATGGAAAATTATTCCCACTCTTCCGTTGCCTAGTCTACCACGTGCTGAGCACTCTGTACAATCATTTCGTTGTCCCCCTTTCCTCTCATACTTGCTTCGTTCCGTCTTGTTTTCAGGAAGTCTGCTCTTGCCTGAGGCTCTGACTCTGAGACCTTTCCAACTTTCTCCGCCATATACTGATGTACTTCGTACTTTTCCTCAATGTTTAATCCAATTCCAAAATCCTTCAGGCTTCTCTTAACACTGTTCTTAAATCTTAATTTCGCTCTTCCTCGTAATCGTTTCCCAGTCTCCGATTCACAATTTCACCAAACATCATTTCTTCGGTAACCATTATTTCTTTGGCAACCTGTCATTCTCCATTCTCACTATATGACCACACCATCATAGATGCTGTTCTTTCAAGATGACATCCATCTCTCCTATATTTACTCTCACCAAGATTGTGTTATTGCTATTCTTGTCCCGCAATTTCACATTTAAAATCTTCCGAAGACAACACTGATGAAATTTATCCAGCTGCTTTATGTGCACAGCATATAGAACCTGAACCCAAGTTTCAGAACCATAGTGAGGTGTGTTCAGCACAACCGCTTTGTACAACTTGATTTTTGCTGTCGTAGAGAGATGCTGATTCTTCGAAACACGTTCAGTTAATCTAGCGTACGCTCTGTTCGGTTTACAGATACGACTAATTTTCAGGTCAATGTCGAACTTTGTATCATCTTGTACTACAATATGTATATACCACGTTAGATACTGAAATTTATTCACATTTCCCAGTGATATATAATCTAATAGGATGGGTGCAATGCAACAACCCTGTTTTACCTCTGTTGTAATCTCAAACTCCTTTGATACTTGCTTTCTTGTTACTACTCTGACCTTCATACCATTTTGTTGATCTTCATATCATTGCTGTAGGCCACCATGCCATAAAGGGGATTTAAAGCTGCATGTAGTCATTTTATTCTTTTCTAAAATCGTAAAATTTATATTATTATGTTATTACCTCCTCATTGAAGCCTGGTCTAAATGGGGACGGTAAACTGTATAGTACTTTCATTTATTTTTTATTAATTTCTTTTGTGTTGATTACAGGAATGTCCAAATCAGATGGTCTTCCTGCAGCAGTTATAATTGTTGTTCCAGTGGTTGTTATTATTCTGATGATCGTTATTATTATTCTTGTGGTCTGTTTGCTTAAACGGTAAGTCGTAAGTTCTGTATTGATGCAGAATGCCAGAATTCCTTCGTTGTTTGAATATTGTCGTATTTTTTTCTCATCTAGTCGTAAAATCAGGCGATTCAGAGCTAGTCAACGCTCACGTGGCGGCGGAGGTTAGTCGTATTTTATATCCGTGAGCTCCATACTGTATATAACTTTTATTTCTTTAGAGATGTATGTTAAAAATTTTATGGATCGATTCATCTTATTTCAAAATGTGCAATTTAAAAACTATTAAATAAATCTATAACGCTTTACCACACCCAAGTACAGTAATATACTGAATACATACTAAGCCATTAACACGCCATCATCCTACTTGCATTATTTGGTGACGGTATAAACTGTAAACTACTCAAAACTATTTGTACTTCTTACTGTCGTTCCAATTGAAGTGTTCCTCAAATATTGATTCAATACATTACCTCTGACTGACCAATTCATTTCATCAAGTTCCTCGAGATATTCATACACTTCCTGTGAAAGAGCCAATTCCGAGAATTTGATCATTTCTGGTCACTTCCTTTCTATTTATGATTGGTTAGTTGCACGAACAACAAAGGTGATTGGTGCATTCAAACTATTCAACAGGAAGTTTACAATTATACTAGGAAGTGTATGAATATTGCGAGGAACTTGATCAAATGAATTGGTCACCCCGAGGTAATGTATTGAATCAATATTTGAGGAACACTTCAATTGGAACGACAGTAAACGTAATGAAATGTGCGGGAAAGTGAAGCCAGCTAACGTTGTAGCTTTTCCTCGACTAAAATTAAAATTGTGCATATGGTTTAATTGGATACATATAATTAGGAACAGCTTTGTTGTAAAATACGTATAGTCTGTAAATAAGGTGAATATTATAGTGTTATTTATTAAAAATATTATTTAGATTTCCCTCTAATACCCGGTGAGAAGAATTACATTGATCCAACGACGTATGACAATCCCGAGAGAGCGGTGTCAGAGTTTGCAAAAGAACTGGACCGGAATTTGATTAAATTAGAAGCCATTATTGGTGGAGGTACAGTACTGAATATTGTGTTGTGTGAAAAGAATATCAAGTCGCTGCCAAGTTATGATTATCATTATGTAGAATTGTAGAAGAATAGAAGTATCATTAAAGCAGGACTTTCGATGCAACATTGGCAAACAAATATTTCGTACTTACAATTTGCCTATTTAACTTTTTTTCAGGGGAATTTGGTGATGTTTACAAAGGGGATATGAAGCTTCCTGGCCAACCGTCAATGAAAGTGGCAATTAAAACACTCAAGGTACCGTACTGTTTATATTTGTACACACTTTTAGAAAATTTTGCACCAGCAAAAATATTTTTCAAATTAAAGACAACGGGACAATTGTTGCATATCTTTTACTAGGCGGGGGCAACGCGCAAGAACCGAACAGACTTTCTCATTGAAGCGTCTGTGATGGGGCAATTTAAGCATATAAATGTAATCACTTTGGAAGGTGTTGTTACTAAAAGTAAGTGCAGGATAAATATTTACTTCATATCTGTGATGTAGGTTACCAGCTGTGTTTTTTAATCCCTGATTGGGAAACTAGGGTGCTGCAATTAAAATATTGAGTACTTGAGAGGTTGTGAATTAAAAAAGTAAGGGTGTTGAAGCATATGTTGGGTTTGTTATAAAAGTGGTGGTGGTGGTGGTATATATGTTGATGACGGGGTAAATGGTGATGAAGAATTACGAGTATGATGGTGATGATTAGTATGATGGTGGATGATGATGATGATGATGATGATGATGATGATGATGTTGATGTTGAAGATAATGATACATGATGATGGTGTAGATGATGATGATGAGAATGAATGGTCATAGACAGTGACAATGATAAAGGTCACCAATGGTGAAGATGATGGTAATGATTGTATTTAATATGTTTTGCGCTTTATTTAGCTACACCGTTACTCATTGTGACAGAATTTATGGAGAATGGATCTTTAGACAAATATTTAAAGGTAAATTGAAACGAATACAATATACATCAAATACAATTGCTATTGTTTCTCGTGCCATCAAAATTACAAATATTTTAATCCCTATTGTCTGTAGGAAAACGATGGAGTGTTGAAAGCACCACAACTATTAGGATTGGCCCAGGGAGTTGCCAGTGGTATGGAATACCTGGCCGGGATGCATTTTGTGCATAGGGTAAACAATATTGTATTTTTTTGATCTTTATAATAACACATTGACATCTACAGTATTTAACAATTATTCGCCGAAGGCGAGGTGATTATCGGGGAATATTCGCCGAGACGAAGTCGAGGTGAATATTCCCCGATAATCACCAAGCCTGAGGCGAATAATTGTTTTAGTATTTTTGCACAATTTTTTTTTGTGTTTTTCTGGTTTGAATTCATTTTAATTTCGCTTGTTTCTTTATCACTAACTTCAACAAAACGGCTAGCCGCCATTTTGAAAATTTCGATTTTGTTATGTTATATTCACCTGTAGGTGAATGTAAGAGATTAATACGTCAAATTTGACCAATCAACGTGTAGGATTTGTAATGTTCACTTGTGCACAAATACTAATATTGCATGTTACTCTTGTCTTTATGGTGTTTATGTGGAACTGGCTTTCCCAGAAAGTCAGATGACTGCTCTATCAGTTTTACACTGTATGTGACAATGACAATGCACAGTAGTGGAGTTTGGTGTTAAGCATTATTGTTTTTTTGTGACAATGACTAATGTAGTGGAGTTTGGTGTTAAGCATTTTTCAAGCTTGCCTGGTGTGGATATATACACTCAGAGTAACATCATTATTGTTTGTTTACTTGTTGCTTATCGTTTTTCGCATTCTAGTTTTTACCATAGGGGGAAAATCTCTAACAGTGGTGTTTCTTTATTTAAGGATTTGGCCGCCAGAAATGTTTTAGTTAATGCCAATCTTGCTTGTAAAGTCGCTGACTTTGGCCTTTCCAGGGATATTGGCAATACTGCAGAATCGGAGTATGAAACACAGGTCAGTGGCCCCACTAAAGAATGAAAAAAATCAGTCGAAACAATGAGCAACTGAATGGCATTGAGAGAAGTATTCTGATTACAGTATCGGACTGGATGCCACTTACTGTATTATTATATTTAAGGTACACTATAATGTATAGAGTTTATATTTTTAGGGAGGCAAAATTCCTGTACGGTGGACAGCTCCCGAAGCTATTACTTATCGTAAATTTTCAACAGCCAGTGATATCTGGAGTTACGGTATTCTACTTTGGGAAATAATGTCATTTGCTGAAAGACCGTATTGGAATTGGGGTAACGAAGAAGTGAGTATGCGATGTATATTCTTCGTATAAAGCAGCGCTTTCACGAAGCACTGGTCTCACAGATACAGGGTATACAGTAACTGGATTACTCTTGTGTGTTTTATAGGTTATGAAAAGGGTCGCCGAAGGATATAGACTGCCCCCGCCAATGGTAAGGATCCATACGCCAATTCTGTTATTACCATGTGATATTGCTGTATATTTTGCCGAAAGTTGGTGACTGTGAAATTGGCATTATATAATATAAATTGTACTTTTGTGTTTAGAATTGTCCTAAAACAGTACATCAATTAATGAAAGAATGCTGGTTGACAGACAGAACGAAACGACCAGCATTTAAAGAAATTGTAAGAATCATTGAAGAATGGATAAAATATCCCGAAAAACTTAATGAAGACTATATCAAAGTGAGAAGGTACGATTCATGTGAAATGTAAAAACTGTCGAATTTTTAGAATTTTCTCTTCACAAACCGGAGTTTATTATTTGTTCCGTATATATATACCTACCGTTATCCCTTTTTAAAGCAATGATGATTTACCATATAAGGATACATTTTTAGAACTGAGCCGCTGGACTACGCAGCGTTCACTTCAATAAAAGATTGGTTAGAGGCCATTAAGATGGGAATGTATGCGAGTAATTTTTCCAAGGCGGGCTACGAGGAACTGTCTGATGTTGCTCAACTTACCGAAGATGAACTCTTAGAGAAAGTCGGAGTTAGGTTGGTGGGACATCGGCACAAGATTTATCAGAGGATTAAAGAAATGAGTGAAGACATGAACTTGAAGCGAGAGCAGTCGGTGAGAATTTGATGACAAAGCAGGATCATTGGAAACTCTCAAAAGGTGGTAATGAATAAAACCAAAGCTTTGCTTATCGCCTAGTTTGAAGTATTTCGAATTCTAACTGAACTAGTGTCATATGATAAGCTGCCAGTGTACCGAAAATTGTATAGACGTAAAAACAAAACTGCGTTGTTTGATGTCACACCCTAACATGTACTGCATGTACTTTACTTTATACAGTACGGTGGCGCACTGAAAAGATGAATTCGCTCTCGCGGTGAATTGCTAGTTATACCAAAAATCGTCATATCAAACATGGTCCAGAAAGAAGTTTATAACTTACATTATCTACGTAACGTATTTATATAGTGCATGATATATATATCGTGTTTTCATGTGTGGGAAACATACAATAAATCATTCCTACGACAACGATAACGTTTTCCAAAAGGCAAAACACGTTTCCCAGGACTAAGGAAATTTCTGAAAGATTTAAATATGGAATGGAACGACGAAATTGAACCACTGTACAGCTGAAAACCGAAGTTTATAAATAAATATTGAATGCTGGATATTAACAATGAAATTTAGGATAAATTTTTTAACTGAATGTTGTTTAATTATAAACATGGAAATAGGTCACATAAATAATTTGTATAAGGTTGAAAATATTCTTGTACAACGGAGATATTTAAGAAATTCGATGTAAAGAGACAACTTAAAATGAGGTGTGCTGTGGATTTGTGGATATTAAGATAAAGCAGTGCATTTCATTTAGTTCATTTAGCTTTGTTACTCGCAGAGGAGGATAGTACCTTCCAACTTTATTTAACAGTTATTAAATACGAATCTCCCAACCCACCCAACGAATAAATAATGTTTTAATTTTTACACTTCTGGCGTAAAAATAGTTAAGTAATGGCAAAGCACGAGCCATAATATTCTTCTACTATTCCCGCCTGATTTAACCCACCAAACTCAGGCATGCAGAAAGTTATTATTTGAGTACATGAAGTATTTAACACACAGTGGTGACAAGTAACGAAGTAAATGTACTTCGTTACTTTACTTGAGTACTAATTTTGAGAAGTGAGCAAGTAACGAAGTCAATTTTTGACAGAGTACTTCTACTTGGAACGAAGTAAATTCAAAAAGTAACGTTTTACTTCGTTATTTTTATTTTGCGGTGAAGTATTCCGTTACTTTTATGGTATTATCAAATTTTAGTTCTATCTTTTACCTGATTCGGTGATTTCTAAAATGAATTTCGATTTTTAAACTCGACTCCAATCGCAATCAAATTTATAGTTATTTACACGAAGTACAGACAATTAATATATTCCGCTGAACACATGCGACAATACACGCGTTTCGCGCCAAATTATTGCGCCGAATTCACTGGCCCAATCATAGCCTGCGAACAGGCTCTCAAGCTGAATTGAGAGCCTGCATCGATGACTAATGAATTTGAATATCTGCGTCTCAAATCATGACGCGAAATTCTCATTGGTCAGATGCTATAATTTATATGTTTCCGCTGAGCTCTATATATGTCAACTGCTGAAGCACTATGCATAAAAAACACTGATTAACTGATCAAATTGGTCTTGGACGTCTTATCTCAAAGCACGAAATGTTCTGTTCTGAGAAAACAGTATTTAAAACATTTGAACTTTTGCTTGAATATCTTATATTTCGAAAAACAGTATAAACTGTACGGTCTAAATTTAGTTTGCACGGTCTAAATTTAGTTTGCACGGTCTAAATTTAGTTTGCACGAAAGTTGTAAACAACACCATATAAGGATAGACATTCCATATTTGGAAAAACGAACGTTACGGGGCAGATATTCAAATTTATTAGTCATCGATGCAGGCTCTCAATTCAGCTTGAGAGCCTGTTCGCAGGCTAGCCCAATCATTGAACTCTACTCGAATTGCTTGGGCAGCCACTATGGGCAGCCATGGCCGACAGTGATTTGCATATTGCAGACGAAGTCTTGAACGAAGGACAAGGACTAGAAGGTGTTAATACTATCGGTAAAAAAGGAGAAGAGGAGGAACATCCTTGGCCATATTTGAAGTCAATGTTTCGCTACAATGGAAGAGTGGAAAGAGAGAACAAGAGCATCAAATTCATATGTTGCCTTTGCTCGCCACTTGTTAGAGAGATATCTGCGTTCATTTCTTCGCCTTCAAACCTAAGAAAACATGTACAGGTAAGCTGTTTTATGCCTTTGTCTGTTTGGTAATGGTAGGGTTCTAAAAACTTGAAATTGCCACCCGGGAATTCATCGGATGTAGTGTAGTGCAGTTGACAAATACATTTCTATACAAATAATCATGTAAAATATCTAAATATGTTCCTCACCGGAGGGTGCGGATAGAAATTGGAATAGCCCAATGTGCGGTTACGTTAAATTTCAACGAAGTTTTAAAAAGGAAACTAGGTTTGTGTTCAGGTCAATGTATGTATGTAATGTTTGTGTGTCATTGTGTGTGTTGGGGAGGGTGTGTGTGGAGGGGTGGAATATAAATGATATATTGCAAGAATGGTCCCCAGCTATAAAATTTAACTACCCTAAAACTCCGATTATAAGCCCTGGGCTTATATCAGTTTGTAAGTGTTTTTTTGATGAGCTTACACACAGGAAGGCGCTTATATTCGGGGGTGGGGCTTATACATGAACGACCAAGTATTTTTATTACTAATTATAGACCTGCATGTATATTGGTTAAAAACTTATATTGTGGTTATAAACCTGTATATTTATTGTTAATTATATATCTGTTTAGTGGGCTTATATTGGAGGCGGGGCTTATATTAGGGGGGTGATTATTCTTGGAGTTGAACATTAGTAATGTGATGGGCTTATAGACGGGGGGCTTATATTCGGGAGAAGGCTTATAATCGGAGGTTTACGGTAATTGGTATAGAAGTGTTACAACTAGCTGTTCTCCTAGATGTGACAAAAAAAATTTTAGAACTTATTTGAAACTTGTGTTTTAATGGTTTAATATTAATTCCCAAAAAGGCTATTTCAAGGTGTCCAAATTGTAAATATTTAATCATTGCTTTACTTTTAATGTACTTGGATTGCAGAGGCAACATCCACATCATCTGAAGCGCTACACAGAACTGACCAGTTTGAAAAAAAGGCAAAAAAGGGCTAGGGAGTCAGAGCCATGTACATCAAGTAACCCACCAGCAAAGCAGTTACGTATTTATGAGTGTAAAACCAACACAGTGTCGCAAAAAAAAGTGGACAGGTTTATACTAAATTTCATCACTGAGGGCTTGCAGCCTTTCAGTATTGTTGGCTTGTCTGCATTCAAAGAACTGGTGACCAGCCTTTCTCCTGGAAAGACGGTAATGTGTCGTGAAACTGTGAAAAATCGTCTGAAAATTTGTGCTACAGACATGAAGCACCACCTTTGTGAAACCTTCGAGTCTGTCATGACTGTCGCAACAACCACAGATTGTTGGTCAGCCAGGGGGAAATCGTACATTGGTGTCACTGCCCATTGGATCAACGCAGGTGACATGAAGAGAATTTCTGCAGCGTTAGCTTGTCAGCGGCTTAAAGGATCGCACACATTTGATGTCCTTGCAAGTGCCCTTGAAAACATCCACAATGACTATGGTATCGGAAACAAGATATGCAAGACCACCACAGACAATGGTTCTAATTTTATAAAGGCTTTCTCTTTATTTGGGACTGACAATGTCACAAACACTAATGAAATGGAGGTCAACAATGAGGATGACGAGGACGAGGTATCCGATGAATCAGATGATGTTATGTATCACAATATCACAAAGCATCTGGATGAAGACAGCGAACATGAAGATTACGACCTTCCCAGTCATCAGCGATGCGCTTGCGACACATTGCAGCTCATAGCAACAGGTGATGCAGACCAAGCTGAAGAAAATGCTACGTATAAGAAATTTTCTCGTTCAGCCTTCGCAAAGTGCCAGGCACTTTGGAATTTATCGTCACGATCAGTGCTTGCAGCTGAGGCTGTCCAATCGAAGTGTGGCATAGCATTGATCAAACCAAATAAAACGCGGTGGAATTCGGTTTACCGGGCAGTTGAACGACTGGTTCGAATCATTAAGGAAAGAGGAGAAGAATCTCTTCAGTCACTGTGTAATGAGTTGAAACTACCAAGGTAACAGTTTGATTGCTGCTTTTGAATTTTGGATAAGCAGTCATGTACATTTAGGTTAGTACAGTTCAGGCGTAGTAATAATAAAGATAAATTTTTGAACAATTGTTTTCAACATTTCAGATTCAAAGCTGGTGAAATTCGCTTTCTTCAAGAGTATTACAAGTCCATGCAGCCTTTTGCCCAGGCATTGGACATCCTGCAAGCTGAAGACAAAGCTTACATGGGTTACCTCCTTCCCGTACTGTACATGCTGCAAGACAAGCTAAAAAAGAAACGAGATGAAATGGATACTTGCGCTCCTCTAATTGATGCATTGCAAGCCGGAATTACTCGTCGCTTTTCAGCAGTAATGCAGGAACCAGAAATGGTCGCTGCTGCTATTCTCCATCCTAAATTCCGAAAAACGTGGACAAACGACACAACTGTTTTGGAGAAAGGTAATTAATATTTTTATTGCATACAAATCTTCCTCGGAAATGAGACCGTAAATTTCCTTGTCTATTTTAATTTTAGGCATGGTGTACATAAAGAGGAAATTAACCAAAATACAATCTACGGAACGCACTACATCAGTAGAGTCAGCTGGTATTGCGTCGGATGTAGGGGATGACGATGCTTTCTTTTTTCCACAAAAGAGGCAATCATCTTCTGGTCGTTCTGGACTACTACAGCTGGAGGAATACTTGTCTAGTCAGTCAACCGAGACATCTTCCATTACCACGTGGCCTCTCTTAAAAGATCTTTTCATAAAAACAAACACAGCTCTGCCTGCTAGTGCAGCGTGTGTTCAGTGCAGCAGGTCGTATTTTTACCCCATTGAGGTCACGTATCGGAGACCAGAACTTTGAAAATCAACTTTTATTGAAACTGAATAAGTCTTTCCTTCAAAATCAGCCATAGACTTGCCATAAAACATAGTGCACTCAGTGAAACTCTGATGACTAATAATTCGTTGATATTGTCAGAACTAGGAAAAACGTCCATGTTTTGTAAATAAAACTATAATATATACTGGCTATGTTGTAATTGCTGTGTGTGATCTCTCATTAGAAAAACGTATTTGCGTGTCATTGGTATTAAATTGCAACTTTGAAATCCCTTGTAGCCGTAGACACCCATCATAATCCCCCAGTAGTGCTTAATTAAAATTTAATAAAAAATTGAAAATCCCAAGAGGCCTGAAGGTAAAATTGCGGTATGTAACTATCGTATTGTTGGTGGTCTATTAGTCTAATCCAGAGTATCATTCCTCGATATACTCTATACAGTACTTGTACATTTCACTTGTACTTAAGTATTTTTGAAAAATACTTTGTACTTTTTACTCAAGTACGTATTCTCTCCAGTACTTTTTACATTTACTCAAGTCGTTTAATGCGAATTACTTCTACTTTTACTCAAGTATAAAATCAAAGTAATTTAGGCACCACTGTTAACACATTGTTTACAAAATGGCGGCCAAGTGAAAAAAAGTTGAGGTGAAAACAGCTGTTTTTGCCTTTTGCAGTTTTGGCACACTGATCTGTACTAAGACTGGATAACGCATCTATAGATACAAAAGTGAAGCCGGAAGTCACCGGCCGCCACCCGATTCAAGGGTCCCACTTTTGTATAGATTTGTATTACAGATGGTAGTTTTTCGCGTTTTTTGCCTTGGCTACGTTTCTGACCGGGCCAGTTTTACAATCACAAAGATAGAAGCATACAAGAAGAATTTTGAGCAAAACGTTTGGAGTACTATGGCTTTATAACGCCGCAAAACGGGATTTACAATTTTTAAGGAGTGAAGAGCCTCGGACTTTGTTTATCAACACGAGCTCGTTTTGCTACTTTCATACAAAATCAACTCAAAGTATACAAGAATTACTGTTACTGGACGAATATTCTCAGGAAATTTGAAGAAATGAAGCAGCTGCATTGTGAACAAAAGCGTACCGAGGTTAGTTTTAAAATACCTTGAGGGTACTTTTATAATTATATGAAAATTAAGGAACAGTTTTAAATGTCAGCTTTGTCAAGAACATTCCCTCGACTTGTCGAGAAGTTTTATTAAAAGTCGGAAGACAAGTGACAATCAAATATTTTTTAATCCAAATTAACAATGACTCAATATATTAAATGTAGTTTTAAATGTCAACTTTGTCAAGAACATTCCCTCGACTTGTCGAGAAGTTTTATATGTTTTAAAGTAGGAAGACAAGTGACAATCAAATATTTTTTAATCCAAATTAACAATGACTCAATATAATGTTACTTTAATTCATATAATTAACCTCTGTACGCTTTCGTTCACAATGTAGCTGATTCAATTCTTCAAATTTCCCGAGAATATTCGTCCAGTAATTTAACAGTAATTCTTGTATATTTTGAGTTGATTTTGTATGAAAGTAGCAAAACGAGCTCGTGTTGATAAACAAAGTCCGAGGCTCTCCACTCCTTAAAAATTGTAAATCCCGTTTTGTGGCGTTATAAAGCCATAATACTCCAAATTTTTTGCTCAAAATTCTTCTTGTATGCTTCTATCATTGTGATTGTAAAACTGACCCGGTCAGAAACGTAGCCAAGGCAAAAAACGCGAAAAACTACCATCTGTAATACAAATCTATACAAAAGTGGGACCCTTGAATCGGGTGGCGGCCGGTGACTTCCGGCTTCACTTTTGTATACTATTTATAGTTCAATGACTGTAGATGCGTTATCCAGTCTTAGTACAGATCAGTGTTTTGGCAGCATGATCTCGTACTTTTTGATGATGTCACCCCAAAAAAGGCCAGTCTAAAGTTGACTTTGGAAAACAGAGGAAGACTTTAATAATTGAAATCGAAGAAAATATTGTTCGTAAATATTAAAACCTCCGTACAAATAAAAATAAAATAAAATCTAGATTGTGTGAAAAATCTAGATTGTGTGCAATATATGTGTCCCCAGCAATTCTGAGCCGCCATCTTAATTGTTTTTCCCAATGGCAGGATACGAGATAATATCTTGCTAAATAAAAATATTAGTTCACCTCAAGAGTCAAGTCCTTTGAACGACGAATGTATACAGTACATACTTTCCGTAGAGTTAATAACTAATAATACAGAGTTCCTTGTTTTCTTTTGTATAGAATATCCTTGACTTGATAAGGATTTGGGTTTACGAGTTGTGCTACGGTTCGAATTCTTTGTTTTTCCTCTAAGTGTTTCCACATTTAACATTTTCTAGTAACTAATATTTAATCCATTTTTTTGTGTGCAATGTCCCCGATTAGTCCCAAAAATTTTCGTATTATAATAATAGTATTTTTAAGTTAACGTGCTAACAAAGAAACACAGACAGACACAAACGCGGATGACAACATAACTTCGAATTCCTGGTGGAAATCGATAATTAATGAACTATTTCAGTGTTCCATGCAAGTAATTATACATTGCAAGAAACGAATAACAATGTCAATAGCTATAGGAGGCGGCCCATTCATGCAGTGAGCAAATTAAGGGGCGGACCATTAGAAATCCCGGGAGGGGTGAAAATTCCCCCAAAAAAATTCGTGCAAAGGAAAATGCCTGGAAAAAAATTCGTGCAGCCATTACGTCAGAGAAAAAAAAATCGTGCAAGCAAACAGCGAAGTACAAATAGTCTTGAAAAAAATTCGTGCAGAGGTTAAATGCATTAAAAAAAATTCCTGCAGAGACACGAGACTGAAAAAAAAATTCGTGCCGCAAAAATTTTATACCCCCCCTCCCGGGATTTCTAATGGTCCGCCCCTAAGCAGATTGCGGACAAATAAAAGGATCAGTTAAGACTATATCATTAAATCGCACGCACCATTTTGTCATTTTTGCCCACTGCATGTCAACCTCGTTCCCAGCTCTGCATGAAGTTTCTGGTCATAAAGTAACTGCTAGGGTGGGCTGGAGGTAAATCACAAATTTTGCCAATACGTTCGGTGACCCATCTTAGGATGTAGATAAAAATTTCAAAGCCCATCTAATCTTACAAAAAAAATTTCATGACCCATCCAATCTAAATCGGGAAAATACACTTTTATAATAAAAAAAAACTTGCAGGTATGAGCATTGTAAATATACATGCACGGCAGTGTATTAGCTGAATTCATATTAGAAGACGGATTTCCGTCTAAGACGGGAAACTCGTGTGTAAGTATGAAACGAAGACCCTCTATCCCAGTCTCTTTTGAACGTTACGAGCAGAAACCCGTCTTGATTTATTCGTCTGATATAAATTTAAGACGGATTTCCGTCTAAGACAAGAAACTCGTCTAACTTTCCCGTCGTTCAGACGGGAAAGTTAGACGGAAAAGTTGAGACGGAAAACCCATCGTTTACCGAATTTATATCAAGACGAGTTTCTCGTCTGAGACGAGTTTCCCGTCTTAGACGGAAATCCGTCTTCTAATATGAATTCGGCTATTGACATACATAATTCCACCAAGCTTGACAAACACATTGGTACTGAGCTGCTCTCCAGTTGGTTGTATTTGCTGTGGTTCGACCACTTTTTGTTGCAAGCCATTATATGGCTTGCAACAATCTCGTTCCCCGAGCCTGCGATCCTCGGGAAGGAATCGAAGGCTCTGGGATAATCCGTTACCGGAAGCCAAGAATCCTGGCTAAGATTGAACTACGCATTCCATTTCAATGGCCAATCAGATTCCTCCCTGAAACGGATTATCCCAGAGCCTCGCGTTCCTTCCCGAGGATCGCAGGCTCGGGGAACGAGATTGGGCTTGCAACTATCATATACTTAAAATCTGTCCTGTCCTGTCCAATTGTCCTGTCCTGTCCACTTTTACGTGTAGTTACGATTTCGTGTCGACCAATAGGGCGACGGCCGACAGATCACGGAAATAAGCCGAAGCTAATTACTGTATTTAAATTTAGTCATGACTTGTCATTGTTTACATGCATCAGTGCTTCCATTTTCAAGGAAATTTCCTTTTCTAAGGAAATTCTACTGTCGAAAAGGAAAATCTAAGGAAGAGAAAAAATCTAAGGAAATCTAAGGAAATCTAAGGATTTTTTTCCGAAAAACTTCCAAGTGCATTAGTACATTAGTATTTTTTAATTTTTGAGTGAATTATCAATTATCTTTAATTAAAAATCTGTTTTTAACTTTTCCTCGTGTTTCCGAGAACTTCCGAAAGTTTTTGAGCGATGGGATTTAGTAACTTTTGGCGCCAAACGCTGTGAATAGTTATTATTATATCAAAAAAGCTTTATTAATAATGCCCTTTTTTGTATTTGAGTTTGACAAAATTTTTGACTGATAAATGGATAATCATAAGTGATGAAGCGAGTAAGCAGTGCAACAATAAATGATATCGATACTAGCTCTGAGTCTGAGAGTGACGGCAGCGAAAGCGTCGAAAAACAACGCGAAAAAACAAAACAAAATCCAGCCAAAAAGAAGAAGTATGTACAAAAGTTTCTGGCCTCTTGGCTTACCGACGTTCAGTTCAAGGATTGGCTTGAGAAACGAGGCGAAGTGCCGTATTGTAAATACTGCCAATGTTCTCTTTCTTGTGCTAAGACTGCACTCGTGCGGCACAAGGAAAACAAAAAGCATCGAAGCTTATGTGGAATTAAAGAAAAAAGTCAATCAATAACATCAATGTTGCATTCGCAATCGAAGCCGGCACGAATCGAAATAAAGATTTGCTCTTTTATCGCCGAAAAAAACCTACCCATTAGCATCGTTGAAGATTTAGTACCCTTTCTTAAAAACCTTTTCCCTTCCGATGAAGCCCTTAAAGAAGTAAAATTAGGTAAGCAGAAAGCTACAAACCTCATCCGGCAGGTTTTAGGATTTTACTCCATTCAGGAATGTGTAACCAAGCTGAAATCAAACAAGTTCTCCCTTATCATCGACGAGACTACGGACTTATCAACAACTTCCCAGCTAGCTATACTAGGAGTATTCTTTAACGAACAGGAGTTCTGTCTTGAAATTATCCTTATTGATTTGGTGCCACTACCAAATGGAACGGCAAATACCATTTACAATACCCTGATTGGAAATTTAAAAGAAAAGGGGATTCCAATGAAAAACATCGGATTCTGTGCAGACACTTGCAATGTTATGTTCGGAATCCACCACTCTGTTGCTCAGTTATTGGTTAGAGATTATCCTTGGATTATTGCCATAAAGTGCTCCTGCCACTTGATCCATTTATGTAGCTCTTATGCCTCGAAAATGCTCCCAAAGTCAGTGGAAGATCTATGCAGAAATATATTTTCCCATTTCAATATGTCAAGCAAGAGAACCGAGTCATTTAAGGAGTTTCAACAATTCGTTGAGCTTAAAGAGTTGAAAATTTTGCGTCCAGGTACGACTTTCTGCATCTTGATTATTCTTTCACTTAAAAACCGCTTCCAAGCGAGTTGCATTTCCCTCATTGAATGAGTGGATATTATTAAAACGTTTAAATAATTTTCGCCTCGGATTAAATACACGAGATTTACTAACATAGACAGAAGTAATTTATGAAATACGTATACATTGTAAATTATTTTTAAGTTACACTTTACTCATTTAGGGACCACCAGATGGCTTTCAATGAAATCTTGTGTGAAGAGAATTTTAGATCAGTACACGGCACTGCAGCTCTACTTCACTGGTGAGGTAGTGAATGACCCAACCCATACCAATGATGCAATACTTTCAGGCTTGAATAATAAGTTTATTCGAGCTTATTTGGAGTTCATGGACTTCAATTTGGGTCGATTTGTTTCCTTTAATCTCCTCTTCCAAAGCGAGATGCCACAACTCTACCAGTTAAAACCAGAGGTAGAAAAACTTATCAAGAGCATATGTCTTGATTTCATGGATGTGGCACACGTTAGAAGCACTGATGCTTTTAAAATCAATCCATCCAATGAAGAGAAGCAGCTACCCTTAGATAAAGTCTATCTTGGCATTTTGGCCACGAGTACACTGCATATCATCAGGGAAGAGTGTGAAAAGGATCATCCTAGTATTTCACTTTTTCTAAGCCAGTGTAAAGATTTCTTGGTTGAGGCAGTCAATCAGATACAAGATCGATTTGGCGATTGCCAAAAATTGGATTTCCTTTCTTTCCTATCGCCCTCTATTGCACATAATTTGAAGATCCCTTCTCTGGGTGGTTTGTGTCAAAAGATGCCTCTCCTTAAAGAAGTTGCGGATTTGCAGGAAGTTGACAAAGAGTGGAGAGATCAGTCGCTTAGTCCTAATCCCAAACTGAATGAAAGTCTGACTGCCTTAGAGTATTGGAAAGTGGTATTTCAAGAAAAAACAGCAACAGGTGAACCTGCTTTTCCCAATTTGATTAAACTTGTAAAAACTGTTCTATCCTTGCCATACTCCAATGCTGCTGTCGAAAGGGTGTTTAGTCAGTTAAAACTGATTAAAACAGATCACCGAGCATCTTTAAAACGAGAAAGCCTTCTTGCGTTGTTAACAACAAAGATGACTCTGCTGAAATCCAACCCACCACAAACACTACGAACAGTCACGTTTGAACCCAAGAAAGAGATGCTTACTCTCTACAGGAACATGAAGTCCGACGCTGATAATGATCAAGTTGCTGAGTTGCGAAAGGACTTTATAAAGAAACTTAACATTGTTTAATAGTCTAAGTCCAGTTAGCATTCACTTGGTAACAATCTCACTTGACTAGACATGACAAATTGAACTTTTGATATGTGATGTTTGCATGATTGTTATTTGTTAACCCTTAAGTTGCAACAAGGAATAAGTTTCTAAGGTTTAAATTCACTATATAAACACTCGGATGTTTTTAGTTGAATAGTTCCAGTTAGCAGTTAAAATGTTAAAATGTTTGTAGTTAACATTTTGACATAGTCTGATTACTGTATACAGCTATTTCAATTAATTATCGTTAATTAAGGTTGTCCCCGAGGCCGGAGCAAAGCGGAAAGTCGAATACGAGCGCGAAAGGGCTTGCTGGGAATAGCTAAAAAATTCATTATTTTTTAGCGATTCCCAGCAAGCCTTTCGCGCTTGTATTTGACTTTTTCGCTTTGCTCGGAGTCAAACTTAATTGAAATAGATGTATATCCAAAATTATCACTACGTACGCAATAGCCATTATTGGAAATGGCATTACTACTATATTAAATATGGAAACGTATGTGTTCACTATGTTGTAAACTCATAACCAATATTAATTTTAAACATTATCCTAGCCCACATCTTTGTTAATTGTGCTATTTTGTGCCTTTACAATTAATTAACTCTTTTGTATTGCTACAAAATCACTGCAAACTGCTTAATGAAATTTCAAGGAAATTTCAAGGAAATAACGTACACAATCTAAGGAATTTCGAGAAATTTTGATGACAAAAACGAGAAATTTTGATTTTGAAAATGGAAGCACTGACATGCATGGAACATTGGAACTACGCTATGGCGATGGCCATATATGCATATATATCAGGTTTACGTTGCTGGCTTGCTGCTTTTCGTCTTTTCGATACAAATTGTAGGCAAGTAATCAGTTCTCCAAGTAATAATTTCTTTCTGAGCCGCAAAATTGCTCTATGACTATATATTCTCAATATTTTTTTATAGAACTATAAATAGTAAATACTGCATCGTAGAACTCACAAATTTGAATATATTTCACTGGCACTGCTCACAATAGTTCTTTCAAAAGTTTTCACATGCAAGCTCGCTGCACTTTATGTGTAAATATATATGTGTAAATCAATATATTATTGTAGTATTTCATAAAAAATATTTCCGAAAATAGTTATAGTTCGAACATATGGACTGACCAGCGACTATACGCACGTTTCCGTCATACACGGACTAAGATCAATTCTACACTACTCACTATACCACTATACTCTATCTCTGTATTTAGAAGTGTATAACAGTCTCAGGGACTTTATACTACTTGCACTACTGTATCAAGTACTGTGCTAGTATAAAACGGCTTTTCAATTAACGTGTGCTATTTTTATTTCATGCACGTTTATACCGTGAGTATATTAAATTAAAATTCTTTTAAATTGATGTTTAAATTGGCAGTTTATAGTTTATTTATCAAGACCATGTCAAGTCCGCCTGTGAGCAAAGGATTTGTTTACATTTTGAACGGCTATATTTGTAAAATAAGACATACTAACTGAATATCTAACACCTTTTCTGGTTCGCAATTGTAAATGAATATAAACTATAGAGTACGTTTCAATTCAAAAGGTTCGAAAGATTTGGGCAATGTTTTAGTTTATATCTGTGGGCCCATTTGTTATGAGCAGAACTGCATGATATAGTAACTTCGCTTATAGTAATATTACGGCTAGTTACATAACAAAGTAAAAGTCGTGCACAAGCCGTATTGCGTAAAGTCCGTAAATATAAAAAATATGTAAACAATGAATTTTATCACGCATATGCATGCGACACCGAATCAGATCTATGTTTACGTTTTGTCACGTGTTTTGGTCACACAATAATACTCTGTGCTTGTGGTACGAGTTTTTCTCCCTTGACAAAAAGACCAATGAGACAAGAATAGACAAGCAGATGGTGCTTGTGACACGTTAGACTTGCTCCAAGTCTCGCTTTCATAATTCATTGTCATGTCGATCCACTATACTGTACTTTACATGACGTAGCGCAGAGAGGCGGAGCGAGAAAGAGAGACCAGTCGACTTCTGAAAATCTCGGTTAAAAACTGAACCGAAAGACTTGCTTTTATTATTTTCCATCGATTTTTTTCTGTATTATTTGCTATAATAGAACTCATGTTATTTACATAGATCAACACATATAAACACTGACAGAAAACAACTAGAGCAAGTCTTGCATTTTCGATTCAGTTTTGAACCGAGATTTTCCGAAGTTAACAAATCTCTCTTTCTCGCTCCGGCCCTCCGTACTATGTCATGTAATGTACACTATCGTGGATCGATACTATACTTGGAGCAAGTCTAGTGAAACATTGGTCAGGTGATATGTATCCTCGGTATAGGCACAACGCCCAATACGCACGGTAAACAGCGAGAAGAGAGCATTTGTACTACACCTGTAAACAGCCAAAAGAGTTCATCCAAATATGACTAGGTTGACTGGGTTGTATCGTCCTCCCAGGCTAGTCACAGCGTTGCTTTATCACGCCTTATCTGCTCTATCAACTATGCTCATATACTCGAATGGCTTGCAACATGTACGCTCCGCGTACCTATTTTTGTTGTTGTATAAACAAAGTACTGGCTTCAATAGACAATAGCATCATTTGCATTTGATAATTTGGATAGTTTTGTTTACTTTTATTATTAGTATCTTTATTTTTTGAAGTAGACATGCATGTTTTTTTGTTTGGTGGCCCAACCGTGGACATACAAAAGAAAGTGGCGGCCCATCGAAACTGCCCAAAGATTTTCCATCGCCCATCCCAAATCACTCAAGCCCACCCTAGCAGTTACTTTATGACCGGTCCCTAATTCTGTTCCGCTTCTGTGACGCCAGGAAATTAATATTCCTCGATGAACGAGGGACAGGAAAGTGATAGTGGCGCTGGCAAGCACTTCTACCGGAACTAATTCATTACGGAATCTAACGAGATTATATGAACGGATTATCGCGATTTTGAACTTGAAATTTCTTACTCAATTCATCTAGGAATGTTAACGTTTGAACACTGAGCAACCAAGCGATTAAGGTATGTGTTTTGAATCATAGAAGTACAGTAAAAGACAATGTGCAACGGGGCAATTTCCCGCCCCCCAGAATTTAAAAACCATGAAATACGGACAATATACCACAAAATCCAGTATGTTAAATTCAGCTTCTTTCATTGCAATATTCGATAAAAGTTCGGGCAAACTTCAAGTGCCCCTCACCGTATGCTAGTTTATTGTCTATAGTTGCTCCGCGCTCTGGTTTATGCTGTCTATAACTGTTTCGTATGTGCTTTATATTGTCTACAGGGTGTCCCAAAAAAAAGTGACACTATAGAAATTATCCTATTGTTATAATTTGAATGCCCTAGCACTAAGTTGATCCTACCGTTTATTAGTGTAATCGTTTTGCTTGACTCAGGCGTTAAAATATTTGGACAAAGCGAAAACGTTTTAAAATGCCTAATTAAATACAAGTTCATTAAATTGCCAGGCGTGTAATCACGCGCGTTTAAGAGCGGCTTAAGAACAATGAGATCATTTCTATAGTGTCACTTTTTTTTGGGACACCCTGTATAGCTGCTCCGTACGCTTGTTTATATTGTCTATAGCTGAATATATTGGGCAGTTTTGTCATGAAGATTATCTCGTCTCGCTGTCTCGGAGCTTGGCAGCTTGCTTGTTCTCTTATCGTCGTCATCGATCTTCGTCATGATCAATTGATTTATACTCATGACTGGAGCGTGTTGAACATCGCTCATGCTATCAGTAAAGTCACTTTACGTTGCTAATCCAATTGGATATTTTTCGATATACCTTCTAGAGTCTGTATATAGAGTATCAAATTGTCGACTTCTAAATATCTGTAAATATAACGGTGTTGCAAGCAGGTGCCATGTGGGTTGTTCTTCAGGCATTATTATTGTTGTGAATGTTGTTTAAGTTGTATTACAAAGCGTTCGTCTTGCACCCGTAAAAATATAAATAAATATAAACTTTTCCGGATATAACACTACTATACGTATAAGGGGGTAAATTTTCAGAGATAATAGCCACGTTTACATTGCACTCATTTTTGGCACGGCACTCTTAAATAATGGCACGCGGACCATTTTCTTGAAAAATCAGCATCGTTTACACTACAAATTTTGGCGAGCCATCAAGATGCACCAGCACCCCTACTCTTGAATACGGCCCGCTTAAATACTGCGCCCTTAAATCAAACTTTAGCGGTTAAATTCTTAAAGTAAAATTCGCGGGCATTTTAAAAAATGGAGAATGTAAAAACAGCAAACTCGACACTTGTTTGGTATTTTTATGTGACAAAACGGAGACGTTTCGCTTGGCAAAATTTGAAGATAACCGTGTACGTAGAATAGCGCTTCACAACATAAAAAGAAAAGGTATTTAAAAAAGAATTCACTGAAACTGTACTAGCTTTTTTTCATCGCCAAAGAACTAGAACACTGTGGATGCACCCACGAACACAGATCTCGTTTGAGATGGTGGGCGACACCTACAACGACGAGCTATGGTATGCTAACTTCAGAGTTACGAAAGAAACGTGTACATTTATTCTCAGAAAGATTGAGCCCGAAATACCTTATGAAAATACACATCTTCGAGAAGCAGTTTCAGCGAAGCGACGGCTGGCAGTTACATTATATTATCTAGCATCCACGGCTGAATACCGCACAATTGGCAACTTATTCGGAGTTTCACGGTCGTTTGTGTGCCAGTGCATTAAAGAAGTATGTCATGCAATAGCAAAGCAGTTTCCAAATCATTAAACGCTATCAGCTTCCCTACGGGTGATGACCTTTTGCGAGTCATACGAGGTTATGAAGAGACATGGAGCATTCCTATGTGTGCGGCCGCAGTAGATGGAACTCACATACCGATACTGGCACCTAACAAAAATCACACAGATTATGTCAACCGTAAGGGGTTTCATAGCGTCCTTATGCAGGCTGTGGTAGATTGTAATTATATATTCAGGGACGTAGTTATCGGTTGGCCAGGAAGCGTACATGATGCGCGGGTTTTCTCCAACTCAGCCATTTTTGCAAAAGGAAGGGATAACTGTCTTTTCCAGATGACCTCAATACGGAAATATGTGGGGTGGAGATGCCACCGGTAATTCTTGCGGACCCAGCCTATCCGCTGTTATCATGGGTGTTAAAGGGCTACCCTAGGAACGAAGCAACAAGAAGTTAACGTGTTCAGTTAACTATCGTCTGAGTCGTGCACGAATGATGGTAAAAACTTTGATAGGTGAAAAGGAAGATACATCAGATTCAAAAAGCGGGTGGACATGGATGTAAGTATACTCTGGCACATGTTGTACAGGCCTCCTGCATGTTACATAACATATACGAAGCTCTTAAAAATGAATTTCTTCCTGATTAGACTGATGCTGAAGTACTTATTGAGGAACCAATACTTCCAATTGATGAAACGCCAGCACCAGACGCAGAGCTAATCCGTGATGCTTTAGCTGAATATTTCACCAGTTAGACATCAGGGCCGTAGGAAGCTCTTTTCGATTGGGGGGGCTGAAAGCGAGGGCCGAAGGCCCGAGCAAATTTTTAAATTTAGAGTCTCTAAAATGCCATTTCCTGGACTTTGGGGGAAGATTTAACAGAATTCTGATAGTCAGAAAACAGCGTTATAGTATGTCGAAATTTACAGGAAAGTATGGGCCAGACTGTAGTATTATAAATGCGCGGCGGGAATTTTCGTCGTAAATGGTAGTTGCGCGGAAATGAAGGCAGAACATTTGAGAAAATTTCGAAAATCTGGAGTCTCTAGATGGTCTGAAATGGCATTTTCAGAGTTTTCTTTCGCAAGACCCAACACGCAAAAGACAAAATAAATCATTAGTTCATCAAAATGTGCAGATTTTGTGGGATTTTCTTGAAAATGCGCGACAGAAATTCAGCTAAAATTTCTACGCGAGGAACGATCTGGAGTATGAGTAATATCTTCATTCTTTGCAGTTTGTCACAGATTAAATGATAAAGCTTGCATGATTTTGAAAAAAGAATGATTATTAG